ACAGTCCTTAATCAAACCATTTACCAGAGATGGCCAGCCTTTATGGAGGAATTAATGCGCTCGCTCTCGCATCACGGGACTCTCGGATTTTTAGGTGACGCGGCGCTATTATTTCAAAGGATAACTTTGTTCTTTAACCCTCAGTCATTTACGATAAACGATAAAAGCGTGAAAATTGCAAATTACGTCGACACCCGCTTTGACGTTAATTGCATGGCAGAAAAACTATGTCCGCTGCTATATTTTCATTAAATGGTGTTTGCATGTTGTTAATGCGATGGTTATGGTTTCATTTTCTGGATGAAATTTGCTACGTATTTAAAATTATATTTTAAAAAGTCTATACCCTCTTGTGAAAAAGGATCAATAGGCGCGTATAGCAAATGTTGCTAATGAATAGCTAATAATCTGAAAAGCGCAATAAAGTATTTCAACGCAATATAACAAATCCTTAATAAAATGTTTTCGACCAATTAAAATTTTTCAATTATTTTTCCCTCCCGTTTGCGATTCATTTATTTTATCAGGCTTTCCGATTGATTTACACTTGCAATAATTGCAAAATATAAAATAATATTAAAATTAAAATTACATATTTTTCAATTTCTATTTTTTAATAAAATATGGGTAGTACATCTTGAAGGTTTTTTTTACATCTTTAGATCTGGGCTGTCGTCCAACTTGAGGTCTCTCGCTTTTCAATTAATGGATGAAATGTAACTCCGAGTTATCGATCAGACCGAACAAAGCCGCAGTTCCTCTTTTCCTTGTAGCTCCTAGGCGAATAACCCGTAAGTTCCTAATTTAATCAAGACGAAGAGTCCGCCGAGGTTTGACCAAACAGAGAGTGCGACGGAGCCGTGCCATCGGTGACAGATATATTAGGTACGATTCAATAGAGATGTCTGCATTACATTATTCGACGGGTAGATCTCTACGACAAACACAACATCAACTTTTCCCATGCCGTTTCCCGTCCGCGACAGGGGTTCTCAATGAGAGCGGCGCGAGCGCGAGGGGTGGCACGGAAACGTGTTTGTCTCGCAACCCCGCGCGATCGTTCCCTTTAAATAAACCAACCGCGTCGCAAGAGAAATCGTTGACTCCCGCATCTCGAGTCTTGCGGGGCATCCGGGATCCTGATAAGCTCCCGTTATTGAATTTCGCCATTGAGTTTGCAAGCGATCCCGCGGAAGTATCGTCATTGCCGGCAGGCGCCTTCCTATAAGAAGGAATGGAAATTTACAAGAGTTTCAACATACTTTCGAATACTGTGATTGCCGCAATTTTACGAATCTCAAGAAATTTTCTCGCGATTTTCAAAAATTTTAATAACAATTTTAATGTGACAAATATCTAAAAAAAAAATCCTAATACAAAGTCTTATTTGTTTTATCGATAAAGCGAGATTTTTTCTATATATATATAAGACGTATAATACATTTCCCTTCAAAGGTACAATTCTTCGCGACGTAATCCATCTAGGCGGGAAGTCCGGCAAGTGACGTAAATTTGCATGGGAAAACGCGGGACGGCACATATGCATATCTCTATCGCAAATTGTACGTATGTAGTGTACCCGGCGTAAGTGAAAACACGACGAAAATGGGAAGCGCTGAACTGGTATAAACAAGGGTCGCATGCAATATTAGGGGCATTAAGTCGCCATAAAGAGCGCATTAGGGGTGCGCCCCGTGCCCTCGAGGGGTAGTTTAGCGTTTAATTGTCCCACCCCGTGTATCAAAGGTTTCGATTTCTGCTCGACTACGCGCGTTATAAATCCACGTACGCTCATACGTTTCGCACGTTTATACGCATCTCGCCGTTATTGTACAAGCGAGTACTTACGATCGTGCGCCCATTAATATACCCATCGTTAATGAGATGAGATCGTTAAATGATTAATTCATTCTATGTACGAGGGCTCGAATTGCTCGTTTTGTAATGCGCAAACAGCCGGATAATACGTTAAATTAGCCTTCATTGTTACCTGCACAGATTGTTCCCTTAAACTATTGCTAATGTTGAACATTATTGAAGCAGATATTTGTTAACGTCGAGTCATCGCATATTCAGCGAAACGATATTTTATACATTTTATTTTAATAAGAGATAAATGTATGGGGGAAAAAACGCTTCTGTTGAAGTATTTAAAAATTTGGCCAGATTCAGATGTCAAAACAATTTCGTTGGGCTGTCAAAATTATGTAGAATATTTGCATGATGATAATACTGTAAAAATTTTGGATGTTCTAGCAATCAATTTGAACGTTCTACATCATACATTATTTTGATGACCCAACAAAATTATTTTCAAATCTAAATATATCTGGCCAAATTTTTGGATACTTCAGCTAAACCATTCTTTGCGTATGTAAAACTGCGTAATTACATTGATATAATGAAGTTATAGCGTTATCGTTCTGTTAACAGTTTTACATATTTCTTCACGTTAATTGCGAGGGGTAGAGCAGTATTAAAGTAGGACTTAACATATTTGGAATTTAATCGCGCCAGGTAATTTCTAATTACATGAAGTGATTTCGATCTTTTCGTGTAAAGCATATTCAGCGGGACTTTCCGCAGGACTTCAGCGAGACACACGGCACTCGGTAAGATCCACATGGTTTGCGGCGATGACGAAGCGTGCACACACATACATACACACGCGCGCACGTGCACATAAACATATGTTACATACACGCCACTGTACAGATACAACCATCCACAACTACACACTCGCGTGTATACATTATACGACGGGGGTAGCCGAAACGTATAAGAGGAACAGGCGAATATCCAAGTTGCTATTGAACCGATTTTGAGCAAATATCACTCGGGGAGATTCGCGATGCCGGGTGGTGACGATGCAAGTGGAGGATGAGAGGAGGACGCGGAGGAACCCAGGACGAAGAGGTAAAGGAGCAACGTGGAATTTGAGCGGGAGAGGAAGGGAGAGGAAGAGGGGGACGGGCAAGGGGCAAGAGGGAGGAGGAAGGGGAGAGATCGAGCAGAGAGAGAGAGAGAGAGAGAGAGAGAGAGGAGGGGA